GAAATATCTTGTTGTGAACAATATTTATTTCCCTCCAAGCATAAAGAGAAATTTGATTTCTAATTCCAAATTATTTGAACAATTGCCTTTAATAATAATCTAATCTACATCTTTCGGAATTGTTCCGATATATGTTCTGAATATTTGGAAAGTGGTTTATACCGTTTAAACCAATGCCTAGCTCACTACGAAATATTGAAAAGTTCAAAAAGTTATCGAACCTAAGAATAAGAAGCAAAGGATCTCTCACGATAAATAACACATATCTGTGGCATCTTAGACTTGATCATATTAGTCTAAACAAGATTAAAAGACTAGTAAATGATGGTCCTTTATGCGAACTAAAAGTTAGTAAGCTTCTTGTCTGTAAATCTTGTCTAGAAGGCAAAATGACCAAGAGGCCTTCCATGTCGAAAGGAGAAAGAGCCACAGAACCTCTTCAGCTAATACATTCAGATGTATGTGGACCGTTAAACGTCCAAGATAAAGGAGGTTACAAATATTTCATCACTTTTATTGATGATTATTTGAGATATGGTTATGTTTACCTAATGCAACAGAAATTTGAAACTTTTAGAAAGTTTAGAGAATTCTGAGCATATGTTGAAAAATAATTAGGGAAACCAATCAAAGACACTTCGATTAGATCGAGGGGGTGAATGCCTGGACTAAGAGTTTCAGGATATCTTGATTGAAGAAGGTGTGGTATCCTAATTGACTACGTCCGGTACACCATAGCATAATGGTGTAGCCGAAAAGTGAAATCAGACTTTGCTCAACATGATAAGATCAATGTTGAGTTATTCTTCACTTCCTACTTCGTTCTGGGATTATGTCCTAAGAACCACCATGTATATTCTGAATCTAGTACCATCTAAGTCTGTACCAAAGACACCCCTAGAGTTGTGGAATGGTCGAAAGCCAGTTTTGAAGCATATTCACATATAGGGGGTGTCCGGCTCATGTGATGAAATAATAGACTGAGAAGTTGGAACCAAGATCATAAATATGCATGTTTGTAGGATATGCAATGGGGACAAGAGAATGATTATTTTATATAGTCATAAGAATCAAAAGTATTTGTATCGACAAATGCCACGTTTCTGGAGCACGACTATATGATAGTTATCAAGCCCATAAGCAAAGAAGTTCTGGAAAAGTTACTTTCCAATAAGATTGGACCACAACCGACAAGAGTTGTTGGAGCGCTAAGAATGACCACGATTCCTAATCAAACTCCTGTGGCACCTCGTCATAGTGGGAGGGTAAGCAAGTTACCTGACCGGTATACTGAGGAAGCACATGTCGTCACTGTTGATGACGGTAAGGAGGATCCGTTGACCTTTAAGGCTACGGTGGATGATTTTGATAAGGAAAAGTGGCAAGCAACTATGAAACTCGAGATAGAGTCCATGTACTCCAACTCAGTCTGGCAACTTGTAGATCTACCTGAAAGGGTAAAACCCATTGGATGCAAGTGGATCTTCAAGAGAAAGAGATGAGCGGATGAAAAAGTAGAAACTTATAAAGCAAGGCTAGTGGTTTAGGGTTACACCCAAAAGAAGGGGAGTTGACTGTGAGGAAACTATCTCACCGGTAGCTATGCTTAAGTTCATCCGGATACTCTTCACCATAACAGCATATTTTGAATATGAGATATGGCAGATGGATGTCAAGACAGCTTT